CCCCCCCAAGAGAGAATTCCTACAGTCAAAACTTTTAAAAGGATTTTCTACTGCTGTCAGACTAGCAAAGCTGACTTTCGAATTCTGGTTCATGATGAGCACCAATGGTCACCCAGTTATTTTTATTCTGTGTACATGTTACAGTGAGCTGTTTCCCACAGTTATTCAAGTGTAAGAGGCCAATTCTCAAAAGCAGAAATATTTTGAGTGTCTTTTATTCCCCCTTCCCTGTTACCATGTTGTTTTTCAAAACCCAGAATCCTCTTAAAGAAAGGAAGACAATAAAAGACTGCAAACTCAATCCTAATAAAGAAATTGATATTTTGTTTACTTAAAACTGAAGTCCAGTTAGTTTTGCCTGTAAAAACAAGTATTTACAATATTATGTCAATACAGCTAGTTTCAACTTGCAACATTTATGCTGATGCTTCAATTCTTAAAAGCTTTTTTTGCTTCTTCCTCTGAATTTTGCGTGGCTTCTTTTTATCTTTAACAATTGCCTTTGACTCTGGTTTCACAAGCTGTATTTCCACTGGCTTTTCTTCAGCTGGAGTTTCAAAGACCACTTCAGTGGGATCTTCTCCAATAAGCACCTTACTCCCTTTTTTCTTAATCTTTTGTACCTCCTTCACTTGCTGTTTCTCTCTGAACTTAGCCGCCACTGACAATCTTATCAGCCGTCGATGCTATAAAAACAAGATTTTAAATTTCATCAAGTTTCAAATAAGCAAGACGGAAGAAATCAGGTGTTAAAGGAACAGGTGGCAATTTCTCTGCTTAATTGTCAAAATCCTCAATGTAATGCCATCTTTTCAGTGATATGAATTTTGCATTCATTCAATTTTTACAAAATTACTCTGTTCTCAAATTGTGATCAGTCAGGGCACTCTTTTCTACAAAGGGTCCCAGGGAAAGGCATACATGATTCTCCTGCACAGACAGACTGAAAGATCAGTTTTCAAATTAGTTGCTGAATGAAAGAGAAGACAAAGCTGCTTACCATATTTGGGGACTGGTAATGAGGATTTTCATAAAGAGTTGGTCCTCCAAAACTACCTTGGAAGATTTTTATGAGGTTCAGGACAAAACGAGGCCCAATTTCTACTAGAGATGCATCTTCTTCTATTATCTGCAACAAAAAGAATAGTTTCTTCATTTCTCATGGATTGAATCAAAGCACATGACCTTGTAGGAGGCACCTTGTATATGGTGATACACAACTGAATTCAAATCCAAGATAACTATGCCACTAAAGCTGATTAAGATAGATTTGTATAAACACAATTCTGTATATAAAGCAGTTCTGTTAGGTTCACGCAAGCACTTAGAGAGTATGAGGTATTTGTGAATTCCTCCTTTAGAAAGTAAGCTCCAGCATGCTTTGCGTTGAAGTAGACAAGACACAGGTTCACGGGCAGAGGAGAGAAACCAATTTCTCAGGCAAAAAGAGCAGCTTGACCTAAGGAATGCAGAATGCGATGAGGGGGGAATTGATAAGCCAAAAAGTTAAACTCTCAATGGTGCTATCGTATGAGCTCGTAAATCTGCATGCTACTAAGATCCTTGAAGTGCAACTGATAAAGAGGAACATCCTACCCCAGAACATCATTAGGCTGGAAAGTTGCCACATGAAGTGTAAAGTCAGCAGAAATCAGCAGTAACTGCGAGAAAGGTAAAGGTGCAGGGGGAGATCGCGACCACCAACTCAATTGGCCCCTTCAAAAGAGGGCAAAACCCCACTTGGGGAGCATGCGCAGTTGATGAAAAGGCTTCACTAGTGCTGTCTGAGGATGCATACCAATTTATATTAGAAGCAAGAAACTTGTAACCAATCCTAAGTGTGAATAACAATGAACATGCAGTGTACTATGAATATGCAAATATTTTTGTATATATCTTCATTTGGCTTGACATGCACATTAGGCAGAACAATCCTCCGTGCATCCAGTACTGCAATAAAGGAATGTGTGCTTTCTGAAACTCCAGAGTCTTAGAAGGTTCTTCTGACCGACTTTTATGGTAACAGGGTCAAAGCAGCAAGTGAGGTTAAAAGGCACGCAAAGCTTAGGCTTTGGCTAGTACTTCCCGTCACCGAGACAACCACCACAGAAACACAACAGAATGCAAGCTGAAGTCAACAGAACTTAAAGCAGCTCTCTCCAGAGATACGGGAAAAGATGAGTCATTTTAGGACATTGAAATTACTTTGTGCAAGTACTAGGTGTTGGCATATCCTGATAACAATGATTCTTCTCATTTTATTGTAATTAATGGATTTGACAAGAAATTACTCCACTGAGCTCCTCCTGAAGAGCTAAAAGAGACCACTAACCTGGTAATTCCGAAACCAGATCCTCTCGTCCGTAATGGTGAATGTGAAAACATGATCTACAAAAGGCTGGCTTTTGGGGTGATACTGTGGTGTACTAAATATCTGTAACAAAAGACAGTTATTTCTAAGTATCTGTAATTTAAAAGGCCAAACATAAATGGCTCATTTTTAATTGATTTTAATTTACTAAGATCCCAATCCCCGGTTACATTTCAAAACTCACCACTTAAGAACAAATGTCCCAGTGATTTTAAGCACATGACCCTAATCCTTTGAAGATTTTTTCCAAGCTCAGAAGTACAAAACTACTACTTAAAAAAACACTTGAGATTTTTAAATATATTGTCAAAACCCATTTCTAATGAAGAAGAAACACCAGACAGCAGAAATACAGACTGACCTGAATAAACAATTCTTTTAGCAGGGCATAGTGTGGCTCCTTGTCAAATGTCTACAAAGAAAAAATATAATTTTACATACAAAGCTAAATGCAATAGTCATGCAAAGAAAACAAAAGCATACCTCAATGAAATAAAACCTATACTTACTGGATCAAAAGACAAAAGGGGCCGTGAGCCCCTTAGGCAGTTTCCTGTCATCTTCAATTCAGCCAGTGTGTGAACTACAGTGATTTTTTTAAAAAAGATCATTTTAGTATTTACAGAAAACTGTACAGACAGGAAAGCACGAGTCCAGTTACAATAATGTCAACCAACTTACCATTCTGCACTAAGAATTTAGCTGATGGTCCCTGTGGTGTATTTGAAAGCCTGCAGAGAACAGGTAGTGGGGAATAGAGAAAAGAAAAATGTTGACAGCAGCCAGAAGGTATGCTAGATTTCTACAGTACAGTCCAACCAGTTATTTCTGTATTGAAGTAATTTCAGTTGCTTTTATAGTTAATTGAGTTTCTTTAACATACTTACAAATACTTGCTTTCTAAACAGTTTTCTAAAATGCTTCTGTAAACAGTCTACAAAAGCTGGTCATGCATTGTAAACTTGCACTAGCCACAGAAGTGCAAGATTAGTACAGATTGAACTAAGCAACTTTATTTCATGCATCTTCACTATTACAGTAAGAAACTTCAGACAGAATGGAAGCATAACCAGCTATATATAGAAATGTAAGAAAACGTAACATTCCTTACCACATATAGAGATCCTGTTTCTTTTTGGCTTCAAAAAAGATGCATTTATTGCAGTTTTTCATCTCACACACCTACACAAGACAGGTCAAATTAGCTCTTTATAAAATTCTGAAGACATTTTCAAAAACTTTCCACATCAATCTCTAATGTCTTCCCCCCTCCAAAATTTCAGTTCAAAAGCAAAGGTCTTATCTTAATAAATTACACCTACTTATCCCCAAACTGAAGTCAAAGCACTTGTTTTGTTGAAAAGTACCACTTATTTATTACCAGGTATAATAACTTCACTAAAGTTACATGCAATCTGGTAAGTTCTCTGGGATATAAACATCAGAGCAGGAGCTGTGACACTGGATTCTAGTTTCAGAACTACCCATTTCCTACTACATTGTTTGGCCTGGCTGCATATTTGTTCCCTGCTTTCTTCAAGTATAAACTGTAACACACCTTTCACATACATAGAAAGGCACATTCTGTTTTATTTCTTCATGATGAAAGTCTATGTTTAATTAAAGGTTTCATTTTGGTCTTATTAATTAAAAGTCAACTTCCTGTTTTAACATAATGTGCTGGTTTTGGCTGGGATAGAGTTAATTTTCTTCACAGTAGCTAATATGGTGCTATGTTTTGGATTTGTGCTGAAAACAGCATGGACAATACAGGGACGTTTTCGTTATTGCTGAGCAGGGCTTACACAGAGTCAAGGCCTTTTCTGCTTCTCATGCCACCCCACCAGCAAGGAGGCTGGGGGTGCACAAAATGCTGGGAGGGGACACAGCCGGGACAGCTGACCCCAACTGACACAAGAGATATCCTATACCATATGGTGTCATGCTCAGCGTATACAGCTGGAGGAAGAAGAAAGAAGGGGGGACATCTGGAGTGATTGCATTTGTCTTCTCAAGTAACTGTTATGCATGATGGAGCTCTGCTTTCCTGGAGATGGCTGAACACCTGCCTGCTGATGGGAAGAAATGAATGAATTCCTTGTTTTGCTTCGCTTGCATGCACAGCTTTTGCTTTAAATATTAAACTGTCTTCATCTCAACCCATGAGTTTTCTCACCTTCCAATTCTCTTCCCCATCCCTACAAGGGGGGAGCGAGTGAGCAGCTGTGTGGTGCTTAGAAGCTGGCTGAGGTTAAACCACAACACATGAGCACTTTTTGAATTTTCATCTCGTCAGCAATTTTCATCTATGAAGTTATAGAACTCCTATAACCAGTATGAGATCCTTTGGTTGCCCTTTTCTCTTGCACATTGTATTTCCAGAGAAAATAAAAGAGAAGCTCTAGTTAAATCCTATGCATTACCTCATTAATTACAAACAACTGGTCCTTCCGGTCCATTTTTGTATCTGGAAGGCAAGAACAACTTTTAAAATGCTGGAAAACCAATTTAACACAAGAAGCTCTTTTAACAGTCAGTTCTTTTGCAAAAATTTTCCTGGTTATAAATGAATGACTAAGAATAACTACCAAGTAGTTTCAGCCATGTTATACAATAAATAAATACAGCAAGGAAAGTATCTGCACACTTACAGGACTGAGGCCATAGGAGTCATTCCCCAGAAAATATTAAGATATGACAGTCACTGCATTTGTTGGCTCAAAATGGGTTTGGTGTTTGTCGAAGATAAAAGTTTCATCAAAGCAGTTACGTACCACATTTTTTAAATGAACAGGTTGTCAGAAGTTCATGGCTTAAAACTATTCTGAAAATCTAAGTTAGGGATGAGGCCTAACCCTACCTGCTTTAGAGTGAGGCATCAGTGTCCTCAAGTCTTGCATTAGGTGTCTTGTTCTGAAATTAATTCCACGAGAAGAGAAAATAAGCACTCGCTCCTTGTTTTTCCATTTACCCTAGGAAAAAGACACAAAAGTTAAGCAGGAAGTTTCTACCCTTAAAACTACTACAACGCAGCAAAAATAAACATTTGAATTGTAATTATTAAAAAAATGCAGTGAGAACATTTGTTATTAACGCTATCTGCCCATCCGCACAAAATCACTCTCTCAGCAAGTGATGACTTCCCTACAGAACACAAGGGCATAATTTTTTACATGAAGAACTGCTTCAGTATGTTCCTACGTAAAGCCTTTCACTCGTACAAAACATGTAAGTATTAAGAAAGCAACATGTATTACTTATTTGCAAAACATGCTGAGCCACAGTCTTAGAGCACAATTTAGCTTTTCTGACAGATGAGCATGTGACGAAGTTTCAGAGTTCAACATGATTATTTTTTTTTTAAGCAAACTACAAGGCAGTTATTGAAGCCTTCTCAGGATGATTCCTAAATGAAACAGGCATAATTTCCATATACCCTTTGTACATAATAGAATTGTCCAACTCTTCAAAATACTTTTGAGGTTAAGATAACACATCAGATTCTACATTGACCAGAATAACGCTCTTCACGTGTTTTCATAAAACTAGCATATCATCGCATATTGCTTTTATTTGTGATGGGATTATAAAAAAAAAAAAAAGAATAACTCTCTCTATCCCCGCTTAGCAGCTGGGTTCCTCCCAGACATCCCGAGTCCCGGCACCCCAGCTCTGAGAGCAGCAAAGGCAGCAAAGTCGGCCCCCAGGAACCGCAGTGCCCGCTAGCAGGGCGCTGCGCCAGCTGACCGGGGCACGGCAGCACAAAGGAGGGGACACCCACGCCTCTGCGGCCCGCTGCAAACTGCGCTGCCTTCCCAACGGAGGCGGAATACATCCCTAACACACGGCCCAGGCACGAAGACGAGGTATCCTTCCTATGGGTAAACCCCGGCCCGGGCAGAGAACAGAGCGAGGACACCCGGTCCGGCACGGCCCAAGTCCGCTCCACCCTGAGTAGCGAGGCTGGGAGATACCTGGGAGACCGGCGGCGGGATGCTGTACTCCTCCGGCCCCGCTGCGTCCGGGCCCAGCTTGGCGTCCGGCTCAGGCGCGCTCGGGGCCCTCTTAACTCGCTTCTTCGGCCGCACAGCCGAGCCATCATGC